GCATTTATAATCTACTACAAAGTTTTGGATTGTTTTGGGTCTTTTTTATTCCTCTTGTTGAAACCTGTCTTAACATCGACTTTCTACTATCATTCTTGATTAAAACTTTTATAGTCAAAAATAATTTCATTCCTGCAGTTTCTATTTTTATGAGCAGAAGAATTGGCTAAGTTAGCTGTTATTCCTGTATAAAACCTACCATTTACTGTGAATCAACCGCTAACATTTGACAGCCCCACCACCTCTACTATTAACTCCCTAGAGGCTTAGATAATATTTTAAGTCTTCTAAGAGGTGCAACTTGAAATGAGAATCCACCCAGTTACTGCACTTCTGTAGTGTCCTAGCAAAATCTTTGGTACCAAGTTACATATTTTATCATTAATTTTATGTCAACCTATATATTTCATAATTCCTAGTGAAGAGCAGGCAGTATTCACCCTCAACTCTAATCAGCTTTGCATATAAAGCTTGGATATGGTAAATTGAAGACACAGAACTATATTTCTAGATTAGCCAGAAGTCTTATTTTAGATCTAACTACAGAATCAGAGAATCACAGAATCATTTGGGTTGGAAATGGCCTTTAAGGACCATCTAGTTCCAACCTCCATGCCCATGGGCAAGGACATCTTCACTAGATCAGGTTGCTCAAAGCCCCATCCAACCTGACCTTTTATTGCTCAGATTCTAAAAGTACAGTTAACACTGTTTCAGTGAAGGTGATTTTCAACAGGTGATTCTGATAGGTAAGAAATTCTGAAGTAAAGGTACTTTGAGTTATACTCTTTACTTTTTTTTTTTCATTAATTTACCAAATCTCTAACCACAAGATCTTCAGAATTGCTTTCTAACAAGTTAAGCAGAGGAGGAAAAAAGGTCTAGTGCCAACAGGGGAGAAAAAGTCTAGTTACAGCAGAGATTTGGAACTCCAAATCCCAAAGAGGGTAAGATCTTCTCACCTTTTCCTGTGCAAGACAGGGGAACAATAATTCATCTAGCTGAATCTGAAATAGACCTAGGAAAAACAGGTGAATCAAGCTCTGTACTTGTCTTATTTTTGGTACAACAAAAATGGAAAGCTCTTGAGACTAATAAAGTTTGTCATATGCAGTGTTTATTGTTGTCATTTATTTGAAGCCAAACTGCTGAACAAGTGAAATGTCTGACACTCTTGAAGATTAAGACCATCAAAAGTCTGAAGTTTTAAAAATCAACTATTTGAGTAATTGACTAAGTACCTGAATAACTGAGTTACTCGAGTGTCTACATAAAACATGAAAAGACTCTGTGAGTTATCAGAGCAGAGAGAGAGTCAAAAAGCATTTTCATTAAAATTTACTAGTTATTTTTGAATCAAAAGCACAGGCAGCTTCAGGTCAAGATGTCCCTCATCCACTCACCTGTTACACCCCTCTCTCCCCACCCTCCAAAGACTGGAGGGCCATAAACCCCTGGGATTTAGTAAGCAACACAGAGGAATAAGAAATCTGGTTTTATTCCATAATTGTTGTAAAGTATGCTCATTGAATATTACTTTCCACTGCTTAATATCATTAATGAGACACTAAGCTCAAGTTAATAGCTAGTTACTTACATTGCCTTTGGCTCTACTTAGCACACCTCTGATATTCATCAGTATCTGATCACTGCACACCCCAGAACGTGACTACCTAACACAGCCTTCACAGTCTTATTAGATCTTTTTAGGACTATAGGACTCCTAGTACGTGATATTTAGAGAAAAAGTGTTACCTTATGCTGTGGCACATGCTTTACATAGAACCTGGGCTTCAGTCTCCTCATGGCTCACTAGAAAAGACAGTCTATCAAAGATTTCCTAGCCGAGTAGTAAATCAAGTGCATGGAAGCCCCAAATAAACAAACAAATTTAGACAGTTGCAAGTTAGTCCCTTTTCTTATTCTGTTTTTATTACAGTTGCATAAGAGAAAACAGGAAAAATAAACATATCTCTCTCCTGCACCTCAGCTTTACGAATTTCCTTCCTGCAGCATGTAAATTGAAGTTACATAGTCCTTAGTGTGTCTCTTCCGCCTGCTCTGTTGTCAGCACTCTTCTCCCACACCTTCCTGAAACAGTAACACGCCTTCCTTTGTATCAGCCCTCTCCCCATGTCTCTCTTTAGTATTCTCATACTAATTCACATATAAATTCAGAATCTTTCTAGCATACAGAACCTAGCTTATGCTGTTTACAAAAACCAAAATGGTTACAAAACTGATTTAAAGGTTATTCCATGCCTGCCTTTTAGTCTACAGGGGCTACAAACTGATGGTGAACAAGAGTAAGAATAGAAGCAAATCAAAGTATAGCTAAAGAGGAGAAAACCAGCCTAAGAGAAGCCAAGGGCATTGCTGAGACTTTTCTTCGCACAGCCAAAAAAGTGTATTTCTTGAATCTAAAGGAACTCCAGCATTTTATGCCTACACATATAGAATATCAGATGCTAAATTTAAAGTGTCTGCGTACCAGTTATTCATATACACTCAGATACACACAGTTAGCCAATATCTTTGCTCAGGAAAAGTGAAAGCAATTATAAATAACATCAATTCACAACTTTCAAAGGAAAAAAGGTTTTTGGATCTAAAAGGTTTTATAAAAAAGGATTTTTTAAAATGTAGTCTGAGCATAAAAACGTGATTTTATTTTCTTTTTAATTGTACCAGGGCTAGAGCTTGACAAGTCTCCTTCTCTAACTGGGGGGCTGGAGGAGGGGAATGGGGTGCTCATCTTAGAGGGTATTTTAAGTGCAGATCAATTACACCTACACCTAAGCATTTCTTCCTTAAAAAGATATCCACATAGATTATAATGTATTTGATATATAAAGAGTACCTCGGGCCAAGAGCGATGCTTGCAGTGTGAATCATCACACTAAGAACTGGTGTAAAATATTTAAACTTTTTTCAAACGGTTAGGATACTTAAATTCTATGGAAAAGAGCCCAAGAACCAACTCAGGGTGAGAAATACAGAACAAAGTACAAGTCCAGCCAGTAGAGATTGGTACAGTGACCAAACGTGTACAAAGTTAACCCACCAGCTGGTGTCTTCAAAAGAAGCATTTTCTTTTTCAATTGTTATGGCTTAAAAGAACAATATCTGTAACTAGGGCTAGCAAAAAAAAAACCCAAAACACAACAAAAAAAACCCACCATAATTCTGATGACTATACCATAAGAAACTGCCTTCATATGCAAAAGTATGCCCAAAAATCTCAGAAGATTTCTTAAAAATTGACACTTTAAAGGACATCCTTAAGATCCAAGATGTAAACACACATTCTGAAACTTTACAGAAGCATCCCAACAAGTTCGTTCCCAAACTGACTACAGCTTAGTTCCAAATTGCAATTAAGATAGCTGAAAAGGGACAAATCCATAGACTGATTAAAAGGTGAAGGAACACAGTTAAAGATACTATCAACTGCACATTTGATACCTGCAACCTCCTTACTATCACTGTAGGAAGGTCTCTATAGCATGGCAAGCATTAAAGCACATTCTAGCAAATTGAGTCAAGGTTAAAATGAAACTCTGTATCTATATTCTTGACATCTATCAATAGAAGCCGGGTGTAAAAATTTGACAGTAGTTATTTGACAGTAGTTATCAAAATTGACAAAGTAGATCATAAGCATCAGGGCTCTTGTCATTAGCTGTGGTTCTTGGATGACAGATATGTAAAGTAGATCAAAAGAAGTTAACTGGAAGATGCAGTGCTATTTTCCCTTGTGGCAACAACATCCACAAGGCTCTGCTTTTACCCAGAGACATAAGTTTGACCTGTCAACACTTCAGAAGCACACAAAACAGTAGTAAGCTAAATGGAATACACAGTATCTTGAAATTGTACAGATTCTTTCATTAGATTCTTTTTACTTCTCCACCACCTTCGGCTAAGATGAGCTTTCTGCTAAGAGCTGTGCAGCAGAAGATGAACAATGATTATTAAGAGCTATCTCCACCCCCACGCCTCCCTTCCCCCCAACCCCAAATGTCAGAGTTCATATTAGGAACAAATTCAACTTATGTGTTCTCCTCTCTTGAAAACAGAAAGCCGGGGGAAAAAATACACTGAAGAACTCGTATCACTTTCTACAAAGAAATTCTCTACTTCAGCAGAAAGGCACAAATTACAATTTGCTACTATTTAAGGGCATCTCTAGGCATATCTACATACCCAGCTATATCCCAAAGAAATTGGTTGGATTTGGCATATGCTTTGTTTAGGCACTTTTTATAATCAGAACCAAAATATCATCCACTTTTGCCAAGATTATGTTGGGTTTATGTCAGGAAGCATCATGGTTTGCTTTCTTATGATGCAACTGTAACACTGACAGCAATGGAGAGACCCACTGGACCATCAGGTATGATCACAGGGAAACGATAAGCAAGCAGCCCTCTATCCCAGGCCTAGTACATCAACTAGTTTAAAACGCATTTAAACCCCTGCCATGACCACTTTCTTCTCCACCTGTAAGAGCATATTAACCTTAGAGCCGTGTTTTACACATCATTTGCTAACATTTGCAAACGTCTACACTAAACAGGCTGAAGTCAGTGCTGCTGTGCTTAACCACAACTTAATAAAAAAAAAAAAAGCTGCTGAAGAGGGAATTGGCGTATCCGAGCTATTTACAGTCTTCTGCTCACACACAGGACTGGCACTCATGAATTACGCTTCTGTACAAAGCGTCCACCGCCCTTTATGACTGCTGGTGAAGAAAAGAAAGGTGCATGAAGCGGGAGGGATGACAGGTCTGAGGCAGGGCTGGGCGAGCGCCTCCTTGGCATGAAAGCCACCCTCCCTGCACAGAGACACTCACGCACCCTCAGCTCAACGCTGAGTAAACAAAACACGAGTGCGGAGTTAGGCAGGGTGGTGACTCAGCCCGGAGTGCGAGATTCGGTCCCACAGGGTAGGAAATTCGGGGAGCCGAGACCGGGGGCCCATCGGAGCTCCCTACTCACCAGCAAACAGTCCACGTTCACTTCGGATTTGGGGTCCTTTAAAGTCACGTCGATTTTTTCAAACCGAGACTCAAAACTTTCTCCCGTCGACATGTTTCCGCAGATAAAAAGTTTCCCTTATTCCAGCGCAAAGTACGGTTAAAAATAATGAAAAAGTAAAAAACAGGAACAAGCGAGCACAAAAGAGAAACCACACAGCCTATACCAGGCTGAGGAGCGCTTCCTGCAAAATCCCTTCAATCACAGAAGTCTCTGGGGCAAGTCCCCCACGCTGCCCCGCCAAGGGGAGAGAAAACCGAAGGGGAGTCCGCGGCCGGGGGGGG